ATTAACTGATTTATATCTAGACTCTTTATTCTGTCCCATTGATCTATGTATCTGTTTTATGTCACTACCATACTGTTTTGATTACTATAGCTTTGTAATATAGCTTGAAATCAGGAAGTGTGATGCTTCCAGTTTTGTTCTACTTTCTCAAGATTTCTTTCACTGGGGTGCCTGGGTGGCTCAGTTTCTTGAGCATCTAACTCGTGATTTCCACTCAGGTCATGATCTCAGAGTCATGGGATCCAGCACTGCTTGGGGCGGGGAGGTCCATGCTCAGTGGGGAGTCTGCTGGAGATTCTTTCTCTCCCTCTGCCCCTCCCCCCTCATGTGCACGTGTGTGCACGTGAGTGTGCACGCTCACACTCTCTCTCAAATAAATCAATAAATCTTTAAAAAGAAAAGATTACTTTCACTATTCAGGGTCTTTTGTGGTTCCATACAGATTTTAGAGTTTAGTATTGTTTTTTCTATTTCTGCTTTAGAACTTTGTTAGGAACCGCATTAACTCTATATATTGTTTTAGATAGTATGAACATTTTAACAATATTAATTCTTCCAATTTATGAGCTTGGACTATCTTTCCACTTATTTGTGTCATCTTCACTTTCTTTCATCAATGTTTTAGCTTTCAGTATATAGATCTTTCACTTCCTTGGTTAAATTTTTTCCTAAGTATTTTATTCTTTTTGATGTCATTGTAAACAGGATTATTTTCTTAATTCATCTTTCTGATAGTTCATTGTTAGTATATAGAAACACAACTGATTTTTGTAAATTGATTTTGTATCCTGAAAAATACAGGAATTACTGAATTCATTTATTAGTTCTAACAAGTTTTTGGCAGAGTCTTTAGGGTTTTCCATATATAATATCATGTCTACAGCAAATAGTTACAGTTTGATTATTCCTTTCCAATTTGGATGCCTTTTACTTTTTTTTCTTGCCTAAACACTCTGGCTAGGACTTCTAGTAATAAGTTGAACATAAGTGGGGAGAATGGGCATCCTTGTCTTGTTCCTGATCTTAAAGGAAAAGATCTCAGCTTTCCTTTTTTTTTTTTTTTAAGATTTACTTATTTATTTGAGAGTGAGAGCGCACTAGTGAGTGGGGGGAGGGGCAGAGGGAAAGAATCTTCAAGCAGACTCCCCACTGAGCGTGGGGCCCTACAGGGGCTCGATCTCAGGAGCCATGAGATCATGAACTGAGATGACACCAGGAGTCGGACGCTTAACCGACTGAGCCACCCAGGCAACCCATGATTTCAGCTTTTCACTGTGGAGTATGATAGCTGTAGGCTTGTCATATAGGGATTTATTATGTTGAGGTACATTCCCTCTATATCAGTTTGTTCAGAGTTTTTATCACAAATGTATACTGAATTTTGTCAAATGCTTTTTCTGCATCTATTAAGATGATCACATGATTTTTAACTTTCATTTTGTTAATGCAGTGTATCATACTGATTGATCTGTGGTGGTTGAACCTTCCTTGCATCCTTGGAATAAATCCCACTTGATCCTGGTATAGGATTCTTTTAATGTACTGTTGAATTCAGTTTGTTAATATTTTGTTGAGACGTTTTACATCAATGTTCATCAGGGATACTGGCCTGTAACTTTCTTTTCCTGTAGTGACCTTGTCTGGTTTTGGTATCAGGGTAGACCTTGTAATGAGTTGGAAAGTGTTCCCTCCTATTCAGTTTTTTGGAAGAATTTGAGAAGGACTGATGTTAATTCTTCTTTAAATGTTTAGTAGGATTCACCAGTGAAGCCAGGTCCAGGACTTTTGTTTCTTGGGAAGATTTTGATCACCGATTCAATCTCCTTACTTGCAATTGGCCTGTTTAGATTTTCTATTTCTTCACATTTCAGTCTGGATAGACTGCATGTTTCTAGGAATTTATCCATTTTTTTTCTAGGTTGCCCAATTTGTTGGCATATAATTGTTCACAGTACTCTCATGATCCTCTGTGTTTCTGTGGTATCAGCTATAATGTCTCCTTTTTTGTTTATAATTTTATTTATTTGAGTTCTCTCTTTGTTTTCTCTTGGTTAATCTAGCTAAGCATTTCAGTTCTGTTTTTCTTTTCAAATAACCAACTCTTAGTGTTATTGATCTTTTCAATTTTTTTCCTATTCTCTATTTATTTTTGCTCTAATCTTTATTATTTCCTTCCTTCTGGCTATCTTTGGGCTTAGTTTGCTCATCTTTTTCTAGTTCCTTGAGTTGTAAGATTAGGTTGCTTATTTGAGATCTTTTTTCTTTGAAGGCATCTTGTACCTATAAACTTTCCTCTTAGAGCTGATTTTGCTGCATACCATACGTTTCAGTACGTTGTTTCCATTTTTGTTGTCTAAACATTTTATTTCTCCTTTGATTTCTTCTTTGATCCATTGGTTGTTCACAAGTATGCTACGTGATTTTCATGTATTTGTGAATTTTCCAATTTCCCTCATTACTGATCTCTATTTTCATATCAATGTGTTTGGAAGAGATACCAGATATGATTTCAATCTTCTTGAATTTGTTAAGACTTGTGTTGTGGCCTATGTGGCATATGATCTATCTTGAAGAATGTCCTATGTGTTCTTGAGAAGAATGTGTGTTCTGCTATCATTAGATAGCTTGTTCTGTATATGTCTGTTAGGTCCATTTGTCTTTAGAGTTGTTCAAACCAATGTTTCCTTATTAATTTTCTGTCTGGATGATCTATCCATTGTTTAGAGGAGGATACTAAAGTCTCCTACTACTATTGTACTGTTGTTTATTTCTCCTTTCAGTTCTGTTAGTATCTGCTTCATGTTTAGGTACTCTGTACATGTATTGCCAAAGCAAGCACTGTGTTTAGATACTCTGGTGCTGGGTGCATAAATATTTATAATTGTTACATCATCTTGATGAATTTACCCCTTTATCACTATATAATGACCATCTTTGTCTATTGTGACCCTTTCAACTTAAAATCTATTTTGTCTGATATAAGGATGGACACCCCCTATTTTGGTGCTCATTTGCATGGAGTATCTTTTTCTATCCCTTCACTTTCAGCCTATATGTGTCCTTAAAGCAAAAGTGAGTCTGATGTTAGTGTGAGTGTGGTATTAGCAAAAGAATTGACAAATAGGTCAGTGGAACAGAACAGAGTCCAGAAATAGACCTGCATAAATATAGTTAACTGATCTTTGACAAAGCAGCAAAAGCAATACAATGGAGCAGAGACAGTCTTTTCAACAAATGGGGTAGGAACAACTGTGCAGAAAAATGAATCCAGACACAGACCTTACACCCCTTATAAAAATTAACTCAAAATGGATCATCAAGCTAAATGTAAAACACAAAATGATAAAACTCTTATAAGATAACACAAAAGAAAATCTAGGTGAGGGGCGCCTGGGTGGCTCAGTCGGTTAAGCGCCTGCCTTCATCTCAGGTCATGATCCCAGGGTTGGCTCCGGGCTCCCTGCTCAGTGGGGAACCTGCTTATCCTCTCCCTCTGCCCCTCCACCCTCTCCCATCGCCCACTCATGCTCTCTATCTCGTGCTTTCTCTCAAATAAATAAATCAAATCTTAAAAAAAAGAAAGAAAATCTAGGTGACTCTGAGTATGACAATAATTTTTTAGATATAATACCTAAGGCATGAAACATAAAAAAAGTAATTGCAAGCTGGACTTCATTAAAATTAAAATTTTCTGCTCTCCAAAAGACAGTGTCAAAAGAATGAGAATTAAAGCCACACATGAGGGAACATATTTGTAAAAAATATCTGATAAAGGATTATTATCCAAAACTACCAAGAACTCTTAAAATTCAAGAATAAGAAAACAAATAACCCAATTAAAAAATGAGCCAAAGACCTAAAGAGACACCTCACCAAAGAAAATGTACAGATGGCTAATAAGCATATGAAAAGATGCTCCACATCATAGGTCATTAGGGAACTGCACATTAAAACAACAATGAGGTACTATTACACAACTGTTAAAATGGCCAAAATCCAAAACACTGACAACACCAAATGATGGAGAAGATCTGGAGCAACAGGAACTTTTGTTCACTGCTGAGAGAAATGCAAAATGGCCCAGCCACTTTGGAATAAAGTTTGGCAGTTTCTTTCAAAAGTAAACATACTCTGACCATATTATCTAGCAAACATACTACTTGGTATTTACCAAAATGAGGTGAAAACATACACTCACATGAATCTTGCACATGGATATTTAAAGCAGCTTTATTCATAACTGCCATATCTTTGAAGAAACCAAGATTCCTTCAGAATGTGAATGGATAAAAAAAACTGTGGTACAACCAGACAACAGACTATTACTCAGCACTAAAAAGAAATGAGCTGTCAAACCATGAAAAGTTATTAGAGGAAACTTAACTGCATATTACTAAGTGGAAGATAGACAATTTGAGAAGGCTACATATTGTATGCCAACTATGTGACATTCTGGAAATGGCAAAACAATGGAGACAATAAAAAGATCAGTTGTTGCCATGGGCTGGGAGGAGAGAAAGATGAATAGGTAAAGCATGAAGCATTTTTAGGGCAGTAAAACTATTCTGTATGATATTATATTATGTGGATACAAGTCATTATCCATTTGTCAAAATCTAGAAGAATGTATAACACCAAGAGTCCATCCCAAAGTCAAATATGGATTACAATGTGTTAATGGAAGTTTATCAGTTGTAACAACTGTACCACTGTGATACAGGATGTTGACAGTGGATGAGGCAGTCCATGTATACCACAAGGGGGTAAATAAACTCTCTGTACTTTTTGCTTAATTTTGCTGTAATCTTACAACTGTTCAAAAAAAAAAAGTCTATTAAAAAAACATAGCTCTTAACTACCTTTCATATGTCTATCCAGATAAAAAACCATTGTTTCCACTATGGATCAGAAGGTAAAACCACTGCCTGATTATTTCTAAAACTCAGCTTTCAAAATCATCTTAACTGGTAATTTAAGGCTCATAGTAAGGATCAAAGAACTTACTTTTCAACTTTCTTCTGATGTTCTTTTTGTCTTTGTTGTTCTTTTACTTGTTCTCTCTCAATATCCATGAAAAGTCGTCTATATCTCAGGTATTGCTTTTGACGCTAAAGGAAAGAAGTTAAAATTGTTGAGACTATGGACTCCAGGAAACAAACTGAGGGTTTCAGAGGGGAGGGGGGTGGGGAGATGGGTTAGTCTGGTGATGGGTATTAAGGAGGGCACATATTGCATGGAGCACTGGGTGTTATACGCAAACAACGAATCATGGAACGCTACATCAAAAACTAATGATGTACCGTATGGTGACTAACATAACATAATAAAAAAAAAAAAAACTGTTAAGATTCTGCTCTCAGAGGACTTTCCAAGGAAGGAAAATATCCTTGTGCCATAGATATGCTAGATGATACAAAAGTCACATCGAATTAAGTCCTTAATTTCCTTCTATTTTATGGTGACCTAGGATAATAGCACATACAACAAGAGCTTTATATTCTCAAGCACATAGCTTTTAGATATTACAGACAAATCAGAGAAAGAAGTACTAATTTAGTTTGCCCTTAGTATAGTCCTTTGTCAACAGCACTTGAGGAAATGACTGTATTTGATACGATAAGATATATTACTATATTTACTCTGTATTCCCAAGTAATAAGTACCATAGAAGCAGGGCCAAAGAAAGAATGTGAGAGGTATTTTATAAAAGAACAACAGTCACTTTAAATTTTCAAAATTAAAACCACATTGCAAAAGTATACTCTAAGCCTAGCCTCATATGGTAATAAAGAGGGAAGAAGGACTGAGGAATATCTGAGCACCACACTTTAAAAGGGAACAAGTATAGGGGCGCCTGAGTGGCTTAGGCGGTTAAGCATCTGACTCTTGATTTCAGCTCAAGTCATGATCTCAGGGTTGTAAGATCAAGGCCCACATCAGGCTTGTGCTGGGCATGAGCGTGCTTGGGATTCTCTCTCTCCCTCTCCCTCTGCCCCCCCCCACCCCGGAAAAAAGGGAGCAAGTATAATAAAAGCAAGTGCTATTGCCCTGTGGGTTTATATATTCTCTTTTAAGGACATAAGCTACTTAAAGGGCACTGGTGTACACATAGACATGTTTTTGCCCTTTGAGTAGCTTATGTCCTTTTGGTAAAAATTATCAAAAGTCTAATAGCTGGTTCTTAATGCTGAGGCCATCACAAGCTCAGTGGTATTTTTTTCAAAACACATATGCCCCAAACCTACCTTTTCATATACTGATCAGTATATCTGTTTGGGTTCAGGCATTTGTATTTTGAAAAAAGCTCCACATCTGATTCTGGCACATGGGCAGTGTTAAAAAACTCTTGGTTTAAACCAACTTTAGATTAAGAAGGAAAAAAAAAAGTAAGTCATAAGTTAAAAACCCTTCCTTTAAGTTATTTGACAAACACACACTAATGGGAAAAATTCACTAGGATCAGATCTCTGATTTCACATCAAGGTATCCTAAATCCTAGAAGCTTGGAAGAAAAGTTCAACACATTATAATGACTCAAGTGATTTCTCTGCCTTTATCCATGGAATTTGTAGTACTGGCTCTTAATGTGTAAGAACACAGTAAATCATTCCCAATTTCACATATACTATTATAATAGAAATACTGGTGTCCAAAAGCAATTATCATTACGTACCTCTTTCTTGTCTTCTTCATGATCTACTCCAGATTGGAGTGTCAGTGGAATTTGGAATTCAGTGTTCAATTTTGATTGATAGCCATCATAAACCTGTTAGAAGTCCAGGCACACAAAGTGACAAAATTGCCAAAAGCTAGCCCTGTATGTGCTTTTGATATTTTCATCTATTGTTTCTTTTCTCCTGCAACCTTAACCTCAACTGGATAAAAACAAACAATTAAAAAATCAATAAATTAAAATAAATTAAAAAAGAATGAAAGAAGCAGATTCAGAAGAAATAAACCAAATAAAAAATAATAAAGCAAAGGGAATGACTCAGGTCAAAAACATGGGTGAATTAATAACAAATCAAAATGTTCAGAATGAAAGTTCTTCTAAAGTGGTCACTTGAAATCACTCTGAGCATGCTTAGGACTGAATCCAGGATATAAAGCCAGATCCCTTATTATCTCAAATCTGTAATCATTTTCAATGTACACAACTCTTTTGGTGGGTGTGAGCCCAAATAAGAACCTGAAAATATTATAACATCAACTAACATGGAAGGGAGGAAACTGGAGCTAATTTTCCCCCATATTACTAGAAAAGCCTTATGATATAACTTGGTATACCTACTTTGTTATAGGTCAAATTATGACCTCTAACTTTTAGAATGAAAGCTTAGTATTACTTTTTTTAGCTTAAAAGTTATGTATCTTTTAGCAAAGTTGCAGGATATAAGATCAGTATACAAAAATCAACTGTATTTCTTTATACTTGTAATGAACAATCTGAAAATGAAATTAATGGAAAAATCCATTAAAAATACCATCAAAAAATTACTTAAAATTAACAAAGTTGGTGTATATTTTATTCTCTAAAACCTACAAAACATTGTTGGAAGAAATTAAAGAAGGTCTAGATGAATGAAAAGACATGAAAGGACAGATAAGATGGCAGTACTCCCCAGATTGATCAACAGATTTAATGCAATCGCCATCAAAATTTCAGATGACTTCTTGTAGGAGTTGACAGGGTGATCCTTAAATCCAAATGCAAGGGACCCAGAATAGCTAAGATGGTTTTGAAACAGAAGAATATAGTTGGAGGAATCACTCTTCCCAATTCTAAAACTTAACTACAAAGCTACAGGGCGCCTGGGTGGCTCAGTTGGTTAAGTGACTGCCTTCGGCTCAGGTCATGATCCTGGAGTCCTGGGATCGAGTCCCGCATCGGGCTCCCTGCTCAGCAGGGAGTCTGCTTCTCCCTCTGACCCTCTCCCCTCTCATGTGCTCTCTCTCTCTCTCATTCCCTCTCTCAAATAAATAAATAAAATCTTAAAAAAAATATTCAAGATAGTGTGGTACTGGCATAAGAACAGACTTATAAAAAAAAAGAATAGATTTATAGATCAATGGAACAGAACTGACAGTTCAGAAATAAACCGTTATATTTACAATCAACTGATTTTTGGCAAGAGTGTTCAACGGGTAAGCATTTCAACAAATGATGTTGGGACAACTGGATATCCACATGCAAAAGAATGAAGTTCAATTCCCACCTTCTACCACATATGAAAATTAACTCAAAATGGATCACAGACCTAAATGCAAGAGATATAAAATTCTTCAAGGAACACATAAGAGTAAGTCTTCATGATCCTGCATTAGGTAGTTTCTTAGATATGACATCAAAAGCACAATCCACAAAAGAAAAAGTAACTAAGACTTCTTCAAAACTTCACACCCATTCATATAGCTATAATTAAAAAAACATTAAGTGCTGGTGAGGATGTGAAGAAATTAGAACCCTCATACACTGTTGGAAGGAATGAAAAACCGTGCAGCCACTTTGGAAGACAGTTTGGCAGTTCTTCAAAAGGTTAAGCATAGAGTCCCCAGATTCCCAGCAATTCCACTCCTTGGTATACTCAAGAGAAATGAAAACACATATCCACAGAAAAACTTGTATGCAAATACTCACAGCAACATTATTAATAACAGCCAAGAAGCAGAAACAATCCAAACGTCCATCAATTGATGAATGAATAAATAAAATGTGCTATATGCATAAAATGGAATGTTATCTAATGAGAGGAATAAAGTACTGCTATATGCTACAAGGTCAATGAACTTTGAAAACATTATGCTAAATGAAAAAAGCCAGTCACAAAAGGCCATATATTCCATGATCCCATTTATATGAAATGTCCAGAATAGGGAAATCTATAGACAGAGAAATTGGTTAATGGTTGCCTAGGGTTGGGGGGTGGAAGAAAAAGGAATTGGCAGCTAATGGGTAAGGACTTTCGGAGTATGATGAAATGTTCTAAAATTCATTGTGGCAAACTTTATACAACCCTTTGAATATACTAAAAACACTGCATTGTACACTTTAACTAGGTAAATTATATGGTATATAAATTACAGTCAATCCTCAATATTCCATACTCCTTATTTGTGAATTTGCCTATTCACTAAAATTTATTTGTAATCCCAAAATTAACACTTGTGATGCTTTTATGATCATTTGCAAACATGTGACAAATTTGAGTCATTAGATATGCATGTTGCTAGCTAAGGCTGAACAAGGTGATGCTCTGCTCTTTTTGTTTCAGCCTTCAAACTGTAAACAAGTATTCTTTTCAAGGTCTATTTAGTACCAAGGTTTTTGCATTTTTGTGCTTTTTGTTTCTGATTTCACTATTTAAAATGGCTCCCGGAGCACCTGGGTGGCTCAGTCAGTTGAGCGTCTAACTCTTGATTTCAGCCCAGGTCATGATCTCAGGGTCCTGGGATCCAGCCCCAGATCGCGTCGGGCTCTCAGCTCAGTGGGGAGTCTGCTTGAGGATTTCTCTCCCTCTCCCTCTGCCCTTCTCCTGGTTCACTCTCTTGCTCTCTCTCTCTAAAATACATAATTTTTTTAAAGAGATAAAAATAAAAAACAGAATAAAATAAAATAAAATAAAATAAAATAAAATAAAATAAAATGGCTCCCAAGCACAGCGTTGAAGTACTATCTAGCATTCCTAAGCATAAGAAGGTTGTGATGAGGGGCGCCTGGGTGGCTCAGATGGTTAAGCATTTGCCTTCGGCTCAGGTCCTGATCCCGGGATCCTGGGATCGAGTCCCACATCTGGCTCCTTGCTCAGCAGGAAGCCTGCTTCTCCCTCTCCCACTCCCCCTGCTTGTGTTCCCTCTCTCGCTGTCTCTCTCTCTCTGTCAAATAAATAAATAAAATCTTTAACAAAAAAAAAAAAAAAGAAGGCTGTGATGTGCCTTATGGAGAAAATACATGTATGAGATAAGCTCATTCAGGAATAAGCTATAGTGTTACTGGCTCTAAGTCCATGTTAATAAATCAACATTATATATTAAATAAGATATCTTTAAACAGAAACTCACATAAAATAAAGTCAGGTATTGATGAGTGACCAAAACATTGTGATCAGAGGCTCACAAAAACCTAACTCTGTATCTCCCCTAGGAATAGTGGTTTAGTATTCACCAATTCAATGTTTGTGGCAACTTTATATAACTACCGTGAATAACAAGAATTGACTGTATACCTCATTATTTTTAAAATTATTTATTTGTTATAGATAAAATCTGAAAATGATACATAGCAGAAACTTATGGTAGTTATTTCTGGAATTCTGGGTTATTTTTTCTTTTTGTTTGTGTTTACTTTTGCTACAATAAAAATGAAACAATTTTCTGCTTTCAAAAAAGAAAAACCAGGCTTTCAGCACTGGGCAAGGGGTAAGCTCACTATGGACCTGTCTGTCTCACTGATTCTAACTAAAGATTCCAGGAAATGTGGTCTGTGGTATCTGGAGAGTGTAGGGATTGGGTATCCTGAGGAAGAATGAGTTAGAAAAGTGGATTCCTCAAATCTGTGTACGTATTGGCATATATCCTAAAATCGCCCCTGAGTTATGCATGCATGGGATGGACCTAAAGGAGTATAATGAAGGCTTTGAAAATTGAACTAACGTTGGAGCCACTCTTCACAGAAGGTGAGAAAGAACTTATAATATAAACGTAACCAGGCTGATTGCCTGCTAGAACAAATAAACAAAAGATGCAACATTCTTCAGAGGATTTCAACAGAAGCCAGAGTCTCACAATATAATATTCAAAATTGGACCCAGAAGAAAGGATGGCCAGAGAATCCAGAATATGGTCCAAAGACAGATAACTCTTCTTCTGACATAGTAGGAATAGGTAAGAATGCCAAAAAAAAGACGAATGGCTGAGGGAGGTAGTGCATGATGGCTTCTATTTTCTTCATCAAAGTCTGAGAGTATGTGGATGTAGCAAGAGCTTTACAAAGTATTTAAGATTTACTATTATTAGTGTGGGCCATAGGAGAGAGAGCTGACAAAGGGCAAGCAAGAAAAATGCTAAGCAGCATGGGGAACACAGCAGCTGTGATCATAAGCCCAAAGTATGACTGTGATCTAAATCTACACTATTAAAGTGTTTTTTCCAATAAGGCAGGATTATTTCAGGAGCCTAAAAGGAGAAAGGATGGATCTAGGGGATCGAGGCTTGTATGGCAGAAGGACAAGAAGAGCTTCTGACCACCAAGGCAGCACCCTCAAGCAAATAGAGTTAGGTATGCCTCTTCTGTGCTCAGTTAATGACCTATGCACCCTCTACCATTATGTTGCTTCAGAATTATCTGCTTATGTGTCAGTCTCTCTTCTTTAGATTGTCTGAAATTTGAGTTCTGTGTCTGATTCACAATTGTATCTTTGATATTTAGTGCCTAAACAATGGATAACACCTAATAAGGTGTTCAATAAATGTTTAATTGCTTAATTCAAAACATATTTAACAAGAGACTATCCGGTACCAGGCACTGTACTATAAAGGCTGTCCATACACTGGTAAACACATAAGGTGTGGTACCTCTCCTCATAAAGCTTACAGACCAGTGGAAAACATGCTAAATCAATACATTATTGCAAATTGTTTTGTGTAGTGAGAAGGAAAGAGAACGCAAGGATAGAGAAAAACAGAAGCGAGGAGACCTATTTTTAACAAGGTGGTCAGGACAGTCTTTTCCAAGGAGAGAACATTGAAGCTGAAACCTAAAGGACGAGAAGGGACCAGCTTTGTGAAGAAAAAAAAGAAGGCTATCCAGGCAAAGGAAAAAACATATGCAACAGACCTGAGGTAGGAAAGAGCCTGGCATACTTCGGGATATGTAAGTGACGATGTAGAATAAAACACGACAGTGTACCTCTAGGCCAACCTCATAGAGACAAACTAAAAATTATAAAAGAGCTACAGTGTAGTCCTGAAAACCTCAGCCCAAATCCTACTTTCTGTCTTTATGCTCCTTTTCTCCTGCTGTTCTCTTAAAAGGGTCAAGAGGAAATGTCTCTTTATCTCTTTTATATATCCTAACAACACTGGTTGCCTGAAGGCTCTGTCATTAAAATAACATAAAATCACAAGATAGAAATTATCTAGACAGTGATCAGTTCTAGTGGAAATAAACTAGACTTCAGTTAAGCCATGGAGGAATCTTAGGAGGCCAGATTACTGTAATGTTTTCTTGAAAAACTATGGATCTTAACTCAGTACATTGAAGCTTAGGCAATATAACCCTAATAAGCTCCAGCCTACACCCTGAACAGCTTATTTCTTGGTGATCCTGTCTTATGCTCTACTAGCTTATCGATGGAGATCTAGGCCTGGCCATTGGGGAGAAGGTCCTCCTGACCCCTCTCCCTCAGAAACCACTCATTTCTTCCCCTCTCATGCCATAAAAGACAATGGCCATTAGAAATACACCTCTTATAAAGAACACACATATAAAATACAGTTTTTCCAATACCCTAGGTTTCGGGAGAGCACTAAAGTAATCTTAGGTCAGGATAAGTTTTACACACTATGAACTAAAACAAGAGTCTGTTTGTTGCTCAGCCTTACCACTCCCAGCTCTGTAGGTACCTGCGATCCTACCTAAATTCCATTACTCATACTCTACCTGTCTTCTGCTGGAAGCCTCTGTCTGGTGCTTGGCTGGCAGATGCTGCTGGTCGTCCAGAAGCAAATCCTCTTGCCATCTTTCAGCTGTCCCAATAGACGGCTGCTGCCTGAAGTATAAGCTCTAAAAGAATACAAAAGCAGTCACCAAAATACATGAGCAGTGACATAATGCTAGTAATGCTGCAGGGATAGCCCTGACATACTCTATACAGGTCTGTTAGATTAGTTGCATACATTATGGCATAAAAGTAGACATTACACTCCTTGCCACTATTACGGATCTTAACTGTATCCACAAAGCAGTCCTAAGTTTCTTCATCTATAAAACAAGGATAATCACAGTATCTATCTCCCCAGATTATTGTGAGAATGAGAAATGACACAATGGATACAAAGTTCTAGAACTATTTTGGTTATGGAAAGTGCTTAACAAATGTAAGCTGTCTCTCATATTATTAATAGTATTAATAAGAGAGAACACTACCAGAAGCAGCAGAAGCACTGTTGTGAGAAGCATAGCTCTGGCAAGCCCAGATCAAACTCTAACTGATTTACTTTCCGTTTACTTTTGACTGCACTCTGCTCTACCTGCTCTCCTGCTGAACCTGGATCCTGGATATCATGTAAATCATATTTGTGGTGCTCCGGAAATAACTCCTTTCTCCATCTCTTATCTGTCATGTTACGAAAGGCCTGCCCATGGTTCCTGTGCTACAAGACAACAAAACATTGAACATCAATTGTCAAAGCAGAGCATCATGCCAGGGCAATGGTAAAAGCCTCGGTGAAGGGGCCTGAAGTAGTTTCAACAGGTCGGAACGGTATGATACATCACAGAACTAGAGAACAGGATAGCTTTGCCCACTATTTACTGACCTCAACACTAAGTCCCCAATATTTCCCTCTTAAACTTGAGCCAAAATCTAAGCAATTTATTCTCTGCTACTTATTCCTCACCATGCTCTGCTCTACTTATTCCCCAGAGAGGCGAGATCTTTTTTTTTTTTTTTAAAGATTTTATTTATTTATTTGACAGCAAGAGAGGGAACACAAGCAGGGGCAGAGGGAGAGGGAGAAGCAGGCTCCCCACCAAGCAGGGAGCCCGATGCGAGGCTCTATCCCAGGACCCTGGGATCGTGACCTGAGCCGAAGGCAGACACTTAACGACTGAGCCACCCAGGCACCCCGAGAGGCGAGATCTTAAACACTGGGTGAAACATACCGATGGCACTTCAGAAGCAATTCTTCTTTCAATCTCCCATTTCTCACAAGATGAGGGTTGCTTGATATACTTGCTCTAAAGGAACAACAAAATACAGAACTATTTAAGCAGAAATGATTAGTGACAACTAATGACATCAGTGACAACTCCAAAATGATGATACTAGGGGAGGATAACATAACAGAGTTGGTGTGCATGTGTGCCTGCATGTGTTAATACAAAATTCCCATATATAAATCAAAGTAGGAAGGAAAATAGTATAATGAATCCCAGGATACCCAATCCCCAGCTTCAATAATTAATAACATTTTTTTCCATCTGTCTCTTTTCCCACTTTTTTCCTGGACTATTTTAAAGCAAATCCCAGATTATTCTGGTCCTTTTTTTTCTTTCTTTTTTTGCATAACTATTCAATAATATGTTTGGAAGAAGTAAGGCAACAAAGTAATGTTTTTATAATGTTGCTAGCATTTTCCCAAGGTATAGCTAGAAAACAAGCTTGTGTCATTCCACATACACTGCTACTAGATGTCCCCAATAACTCCATACACAAAAACTAGCAGTGGTAAAGTTCAGGTAGTTCTGAGGTGGCAAACAGCTTGTTTTATCCTTCCTCATAACTGGTTTGCAAACTGGTAGAGCAGAATGTCTGGTTTTGGTGTACTGCTTCAGTTGGCCAAGAGGAGAAGTCCTTCAGTATTTATAAAACTAAATGCAGAAAGTCAAATATACTCCAGGATGTGAGTTTATGCAAATGTCTACTGTTAATCAATATTATATGAACCCTGTCTCTTCGTCAACCCAAATGACAGATGCTTTCTCACCTGGACAGACTTGAGGTCTGGCACATTTTGAAATAGCTAAAATGTTATGCTCTTAGCCTCACTCTAGAAGCTTTTTTTTTTAAGATTTTTTATTTATTTATTTGACAGAGAGAGACAGCAAGAGAGAGAACACAAGCAGGGGGAGTGGGAAAGGGAGAAGCAGGCTTCCCACTAAGCAGGAAGCCCAATGCGGGGCTCGATCCCAGGACCACAACCTGAGCCGAAGGCAGACACTTAACGACTGAGCCACCCAGGCGCCCCTCACTCTAGAAGCTTTAATTCTATGTAGCTTACATGTGAACTAACTTGATAAGCTCCAACCCAAATCTTAAGTAATTTCATCTGTTACTCTTTTAAGAAGGAGAGTCTTCCACCTGTATTCTGCTCTACCTGTTCTCTAGGGGAAGCTCGGTCCTGGGTTTTAGGTTCAACATACTGATTATACTCCAGAGGCAATTCATTGCTCATTCTCTCTGCTCTCATAAATGATGGCAGTTGCTTGAGAAACATGTTCTAAAGGAATAAAAATAAAAAGCAAACTGTCTGACCAGGGCAACATGCTAATCATAATATTGTAGGTTTCAGTGAGAACTCCAGGGAAATGGTACCAGGTGAGGATATGCTGATACATTTTCACTTGAACAAGGATATAATACTTTTATCTTATGCTATTTATTTTTTAAGGAGGTAACACTTCTAGCTCAACTCTGTAAACCTGAATTTTTAATCCTAAACCATGTACAGAGTAGTCTGACAAACTCCCCATATGTTAAGTAATTTAGGATCTGCCACAACTTCCTATACTGTTCATGTAGGGACAGTGTGTTGGTGGTAATACTGTGGGCTTCAGCAGAAGTTGTAGCATAATCTTAGTAAACTAAAATAGTTTGATTCTACAGTAAGAATATGAATGGGATTTATCAACCTTCTAAATGACAGAACTGAGTTGGTTGATAGAGTTCATCAGACCAGGGTCTTTTGCACCTGTTTCTGTACTTCATGTTACCGATTATTGAGAATATATAAAATCCAGTTACTTTATCTTCTGTTTATCTCCTTTTTATTTTGCTCTACCTGATCTCTGATGAAGGTCTGGTCCTGGAGTTTAGGAGGCAGATACTGATAACCTGCCAGAAAATAGTCTTCTCTCCCTTTCTCACTTGACATATCAGAATGTGACTCCTTGAAGCGTATTTTCTAAAAGAAAACAAAAACACTAATTGTAAATTGTCCAGGAGGAGTAATATGATAGTAATAATACTATAGGCTTTATTGAGAGCCTTACAGTAATTTTTTTAATTTGAGATAATGTGAAATATAGAATAAAACAGAAAGCCATACTTTCTGTCATTACCGAAGTCTAGCTTCTTGAGAACAACCTTTGCAAGTTCCAAACTAAACCCTGAACCATTCAGTTCCTGCCGGACTCTCTCCTTTTTCTGTTCTACCTTGTCCCTGGTGGAGGTCTGATCTTGATGCCTGGGTAGAAGATCCTGATGGACATCCAGAGGAAACGCCTCTCTCCCTCTTGGGCCTATCAAAATTGATGCTGGCTGCTTCAAATTTGCTTCCTAAAGAAAGAACAAACACAAAATACCAATTGTTCAGTTAAGAAAGATCAGTTAACCAATACTTTAGGCTGTGGTGAGAATTCTGGTATTAACTGAGGTCAGAGTATAACTGAGCATATGAAATAGAAGAAAACACTATGTTCTAGTCCACATAAGCCCACTTACAACCCTATGTAATTTACTTCCTGTTGATCCCTTTCTTCTTATTTTTGGCCTAACTGATCTCTGGTGGAGGGCTGGCCTTGGAACCTGAGTAGTAAAAGATACTGTTGCACACTTGTGGGCCACTCCTTGTTCCATCTTTCAGCTGTCAAAGCAGATAATGGCTGCCAGAAATATTTTTCCTAATAAAGATTAAAAAAAAGTAAATTGTCCAGTAAGGGGTAATGTGCTGCTGATAATACTTTAACATTTAATGAGAACCCCAGACTTTTGAGGAATTAATGAGGAAACTATTTTTTCCAACTATGACTCTCCAAATCAGCTGCAATTTAGTCCTTGCAAATCCCACTCCAAAATTTAAGTAGTTATTTCTTCTTGTTATATCTCCTTTCCACTCTATTTTACCTGATCTCTGGGTAGAAAATGCTGATGCTGGTCTTTGGGTAGAAAATCTTGGTCCTGAAATGTGGATTGAATATTCTGGTCCTCAGGGAGAACATGCTGGTCTCTGGATGGAAAATGCTGGTCCTGACATTCAGGTAGAATATCCTGGTCTTTGGGTAGAAAATCCTGGTCTTTAAGTAGAAAGTCCTGGTCCTGACATCTGGGTAGAATATTCTGGTCTTTGGGAAGAACACACTGTTCTTTGGGTAGCAAATCCTGGACTTTAGACACAATACTCCCATCATCTAGTTCAATATTCTGGGCTTCTGGCATAATACCCTGAGTTTTTATCTTAACAGCCTGGGCTTTAGGCTCAATGGCCTGGGCTTCGGGCTCAACAGCTTGGCTTTCCGGCTCAATAGCCAGAGTATTGAGTCTTGGCTCACCACTCTTGGCTTCTGGCTCAATACTCTCAGCTTCTAGCTCAACACTCTGGATTCCTGTCAAATCACCCTGGGTTTCCAGCAGATCACCTTGGGCTTCTGGAAGATAATCCTGGGCTTCTGGAAAAATATTCTGAAGGCCTTGAAGATCTAATTGCTTTTGCTCTTCCTCTTTCATCACAGCAAATAGTGGATTTTTGAACCGTACTTTCTAAAAGTGAACATAAACATCAAATATAGAATGCCAGGTCGTAGCAACACTCTAGATTTTCCATGAGATTCCTAAAATAATTTCAATAAGATATGGTAGTCAGGGGCACCTGGGTGGCTCAGCGGATTAAGCGTCTGCCTTCAGCTCAGGTCGTGATCCCAGGGTCCTGGGATCGAGCCCTGTGTCAGGCTCCCTGCTAAGTGGTGAGCTTATGTCTCCCTCTCCCTCTGCCTGCCGCTCCCTCTGCTTGCGCTCACTCACATTCTCTCTCTTGCTCCCTTTCAAATAAATAAAATCTTAAAAAAGATAAAAAAGATATGGTAGTCAAACAAATTACTAGAATAAAATGGGAAATTATAATATTTGCTTGACTTAACAGAACCTAAATCTATAATCCCAAACTAGTACAACAATATGGTACTGCTAGTCCAAATCACACTTAGTTTAATTTTTATTGTACTATCTCCTTTCACTCTGCTTTACCTGAACTCTGCTGAAAGGTTTATCCCTGTCTTCAGAAAGGAGATCCTGCTGGTCTCCCCAAAACAAATTTTCTGTCCCTTTCTTATCTATCATAACAGATGAAGATTCCTCAGAGTCAGGTTCCTACAAAACAACACAATCAACAATGAAAAAAAAGTATCTATTACAGGTATAAACTATGAGATTACAATAAAATCCTGGGATTCAGCGCACTATTAATATAATTTGGTAGGTCAATACAATCAAATATTATAAAAACAGGACATTACAAAAGAAGCATAAGACTATATAATGAAAAATATAAAACACTGTTGAAAGAAATTTAAAAAGATCTAAATAAATCGAAAGACATCCCATGTTCACGGATCTCAGAAGGTAGTATTAAGACATTGATAAACCCTCAGTCAACTGGTTTTCAACAAGGGTGCCAAGAAAATTCAATGGAAAAAGGATAGTTTTTCAACAAATGGTACTGGGACAAGTGGATATCCACATGCAAAAGAACTAAGTTAAAACACTTCCTCACCACATATAAAAATTCACTCAAAATAGATTATAGACCTAAATGTAAGAACTAAAATTATAAAATTTTTAGGACACATAGCAGAAAATATTGATGACTTTAGATTAAGCAATGGTTTATTAGATACTATATCAAAAACACAAGCAACACAAGAAAAAATAGATAAATTAAACTACACCAAAATTAAAAATTTTGTACAAATGACAGCATTAAGAAAGTGAAATGACAACCTACAGAATGGGAGAAAATACCTGCAAATCATGTATCTGATAAGGGACATGTATCCAGAATATATAAAGAACACTTATAACTCAATAATAAAAAAACCAAATACCCCAATTAAAAAATGGACACCACATTTGAATAGACATTTTCTCCATAAGAGACATATAAATGGGCAATAGGCATGTGAAAAGATACTCAAGATCCTAAGTCATCAGGAAAACACAAATCAAAAGTATAGTGAGATATCATTTCACATCAGTAGGATGGTTATAATCAAAAAGATGGACAATAATAAGTATTGGTGAGGATGTGAGGAAATTGGAACCCACATATATTGCTGATGGAAAACAGCGTGGCAGCTCCTCAAACTATTAAATACAGAGTTAGCCTATGACCCCAAAATTCTAAAGAAATGAATGTCCACACAACAACATGTACATAAGTCTCTGTAACAGTTATTCACAAAAGCCACGAAGTCCATCCACTGATGAATGGATATACCAAATGCGATAAAGCCATAAAAGGAATATTATTCCGCAATAAAAAAGGAATGAAGTACTGATACATTCTACAACATAATGAAAATATGCAAAGTGAAAGAAGCCAGTCACAAAAGACCACATAGTATAGGATTCTATTTAGATGAAATGTCCAGAATAAGCAAATCCATAGAGACAGCAAGTAGTTTAGTGGTTGCTTAGAGCTGGGGGTAGGGAAAGGAGTGAATGGGAAATGACAGCTAATGGGAATAGGGTTTCTTTTAGGGGTGAAGAAAGTGTTCTAAATTAGATTATGTTGACAGTTGTACAAACCTGTGTGTATACTAAAAACCACTGAAATGTATACTTTAAATGGGTAAACTCTGTGGTATATAAATTATATCTCAATAGAACTGTTAGGAACAAAACAATACTGGACCGTAGAATCTTAACCCTCAAACCCAAATGTAATTAGCTGTGGACGGCTCTAACAAGCCCTTATTTTTTCCCTTTATTCTTTACATTTCCCTCCCTGGTTTTCTATAAATTTTCTGGTAATGCGAAGGAGTTAAAAGACCAAAGACCTTGACAGACCTTAAAGGTCAACTGTCTTCTTGTTCCTGTATTTATCTTGAGGGATGATGACTTCCTAAAGTGCTTTCTGAAAAAAAAAAATTAATACAAATATAGATGGTCTAGAGAAAGCAATATGCTCATGATACTAAGTTGAGATTTTGTGAAAGATCTGGAATGATTTTAACAGATGAGGGTGGTTTAATATAAATAAAGAAAAACAAGTGGTGAGTTCTACTTCAGATTTACAAACAAATCACTCACACATCAAACATGGAGTGAAATAGGCTGCTAGGAGAATATATTAACTTTATAAATGACAATTTGTCCCTATCCCAGCCAGGATCAATTTTAGGAGGCTTATGATTTTATCTTGGTGACCTGACAATGTGCAAGCAAGTATATCTTCTATTTGTATCTCTATATCTGGAATAACAATAAGAACCAGAGAGATTCTAAGGTCAGTAAAAATAAGTCTAACAAGGAAATGAAACCAGAGTTCAACTGGGTTATAGACTGTGTCCTTTCTGACTGGCAGATTTCCACTTCACACAACTGAGGGGGTAGAAAACTATTCAGAATTGAGGGAAAGACCACATACTTGATATAAGAAATACAAAAAATTACACTAATTTCTTTTATCAATCTCATTTCTATAGAATGATGTTTCCAATGTTTTAGCTGAAAAATACACATGCATTCTTTGGAAGTAGCAGTCAGTCTGAATTCATCATCATCATCATCATCATCATTTAAATGGCATCTCTGACGTATAAAACTGATTTATACAGGATGTTATCTCAGACTTAATTCTTCTCCCTTCTACTGAATGATGATTTGTCAGACCTGTAAAACAGTACTTTTTCTGGAAAAACATCAACTGAAAGGTTTGAACATGTTTCACACAATATAAAATATGAGTCTCTAGTATCTGATAACTCTTTTTTTTCTGGTTTACTAGAATGTGTCCAACCGCTTCCTTCTAACAGTACTCTGGAGTCAGTCTAATGTCACCAACTGGAGTTGCCAAATCCATTAGGTACGAAAACGGTCAAAAAAAAGCAAGCCACTGAGAAGAACTTAGGTACAAAAGAAACTCTATCTTGAGAGTCATAACAAGACAATGCTAGAAAAAGGTAATCACACTGAATGCATCTGGGACGACATGCTGTATGTGACACACACACCCATGCCCGCTTGTTTCTTATATTTAACTATAAATGTCTTAGTTACCACTGAAGAGAGAGACATTATAGGTTAGTATTCTACAAACTGTAAACATATAAGAGACAAACATTTTTGATAATTGTGCTGAGATACTTAAGGAAAAAAAATATAAAAAATATATATATATAATCTAGGAAGCAAAACTAAGAAAGAACTAAGTAAGGGACAGAGGTGATGATGGCCAAAAAAAAAAAAAGCAAAAAAGATCAAATGGTCCATTTTACCAGATGCTGCCTATCAAAACTTGAAATTAATGCCAAAATGAGTAAACACAGGCAAATACATGAGTTTGCTTTTAGCATCCAAATTTGTGAACACTGAAATAAGTAGGCACGGAACAATGTCATTTTACAAGTATTGCCTTAAATATCCTTTTAAGTCACATTTAGGTTCCAATTATTCACCCTAACCTTGTATTTTGAATTAAAAGATTTTCTTTCTTTTAACAGTACTGGTTTTTTTCCTGATTAGAAAGTAAAATATGTGCATTATGGGAAATTTTTTAAATAGAGAAAAAAGAAACATCACCTGTAATAACGCTAACCAGAAATAATCGGTATTAACGTCTTGGCCCATTTCTTCCCAGGCTTTTGTCTCTGCACACAGCAGTCCCTCCCTGTCTCTCTATTTTGCTTTATTTTTTTTGTAGCACTTACCGTTTGAAGTTATAATCTACATTTATTTGCTTGTTGATTATTTGCTTCCCTACTAGCACAGAAGCTCCTTGAGGGATCTTTGTCTATATTTTCTCTACTCTAAGTCCTGCTTCTAGAACAATGCCTGGCAACTATAAACATTCCATAAATGTTGGCTGAATAAAGTTTTTTTAATTGAGAATATATTGTATATAATCTTGTATCCTACTTTTTTCACTCAACTTTGCATCACACTTTCCCTTGTCTTCATATATTCTCTGAAAGCATGATAATTTTTAGAATAGGTATATGTGATATACCATAATTTTTTAACCATTCCCTACTATTGGATATTTCAGGTTATTTCCAATTATTTTTACAGTTCTAAATAATGTTGAGAGGTAAATAAATCTTTATCTGTACTTTTTAAAACCATTTATTAGAAATAAATTTACCTCTTGAGGGGGAAAGGTTTTCCTTCTACCATCTGGAAACAGTGACTCATTTTTTTTATTCACAGTCTTAAAGGATGCCAGCCGGTGACGGGCCTGTTTCATGGTTTGACTAAGCTGCCAGGAAAAGGGAAAAAAGAGCAAACAAAAACAGGCGAAAGTTTTAATACCAAATTCACTAAGTGTTCCAACAGGAAAACAGGCCCCTATTATTAAAAAATGCCATACCTAAGACAAGAGGCTTACCTGCAAAGGAGACTTTGGTCTGCTGATAGTATTTTTACATGATTTTCATTATTCTAAGATACTGTACTTCATAACTTGATTTAAGTGCTGTTATTCAAGTTTTTTTTAACAACATATGCTTTGTATTAAGAATGTACACAAAAATATCAGAACCTGAAAGTTTAAATCAATAAACCTCGAAATGATTGAGCAGTTCCATTCATCTTCTCATTAAGGAGTTATTTCTTCAACTAGTCCTTGCATGCCTAATCACTGTTACCACTCCTTGCTAGAAGACTCTATTCCTAGTCCCTCTAAAATTCTTTTTTCCTATTTACAGGAATCCCTTCTTCACCCCTAACATTTGAAGACTGTAGCTATTGTTTTTTCTCAAATCTCCCTTCTTCCAGGAAGCCTGTCTAAGTTAACTCAGAACACAAACTCAAACATCTCAACCCATTTGTGTCAAGTACTCTAAGTAACAGCTGATAATAAGTATTAATATTAAATACACTGACTTTGTGTTCATTCCTTATATGTACCTAACTAATTTCATTAAGCACCTATTTTGATTTCTTTTTCAGAGAAGCATAGAATATTTTATTTTTCACAAATCTGCACAGAATGTTCCCTTAAAGAAAATACAGAAATGAACAAAATACCATTTTTTAGGCTAAGCCCTACATCACGTGGAAGAAAAGTACATTCCCATGATAGTCAGTAAAATTATGGCAAAACCAAGACCAGTTCGAACCCATCCAGCAAAAGTTTAATGATATCAATTCTCCCTTGGAGGCAAATCATGACCACGATTTACAGATATAAACAACAAACACCTTGATTTTTACTAATAGTGCACTAGGGATAAAAGCACTCTCACGGCCAGCACAGTTTCCTTACAGTGTATCACCTCTGTTTTGTCCTTGCTTTTAAAGGTCTACACCTCCAGCCAGAGAAATCAGCTTGAAGCATTAGTCTTTTTTCTGCTAAGATGAGGACCTCTAAATTTGGTTAGCAGAGTGGCTAAAGGGGTCAAGATAGAAATAATCATATTGCAAAAAGAGATACATGTGCAGCTGAGGTTATGAAAAATACAAGAGACACACATATGCCGGCTTTTACTCATTACCAAGTATGGTAAATGTTATTGCCCTGCACAATGTGACCAAGGATTCAAAATACCCGTCATAACAGATATGAAATAAGGATACATAATGTTCATCTCCCATCAACTCCAAACCTCTATTAGAGTCACAGATTGATTTTAGTCCCTTAAGCAGGGTATTTCAACTGGTCCAGCAGCTGGAATATACATTATAGTCTTTCCATTTCTCTGTTATTACCATAGCCCTTCATCAAACCTCAACCTGAAGGCCCTTTCAACGACCAGCTATGAGGACTGTAACAGGCTGAATAATGGACACCCAAAGACACCAGGTCCTAATCCCTGAAACCTGTAAATGTTACTCTATGAGGAAAAAGGGCCTTCGCGGATATTATTAAGTTAAGGATCTTGAGATCAGGAGATAATCTTGGACTGTCGACATGGGTCCTAAATGCCATCCCCTGTCCTTACGAGAGAGAGGTAGAAGATTTGGCTACAGAAGAGAAGGTGATGTAAAGACGGAAGCAGGGATTGGTACAATGTAGCCACAAGCAAAGGAACACCAGCAGACACCAAAAACTGCTAGAGGCAAGGAACAAATTTTCTCCTAGAATCTGTGGAAGGGGCCCTGCTGACACCTTGATTTCGGCTCAGTGAAACTGATTTTGGACTTCCAGCCTCCAGAACTTCGAGAGAAGAAATTTGTCATTTCAAGCCACTAAGTTTGAGGTGATCTGTTACAGCAGCCACAGGAAACTAATACAAGGACCAAAGTGAATGTTAAGTATTAAAAACAAAGAAAATAGGGAGATGCTACAAATCAAATTATCAAGTGGGCATTCCAAGCTATAGGCTTGCCAGTAACCTAGATCTTCCTCAAAGAGACAGGCTGGGCCAATGAAGATTCTTTATCTTACCTAATGAACTAGGAAGTGTGAAAAGTCAGAGACAGAAACTGAACTGAAAAGGTCCAAAGCTGGAGAAAAGAGGCTAAAGGAGCCTACATATGCCAAAGTTTCAGAGCTGTGATGATGAGAATATGAGGTAGTAGAAAATTAAGCAAATAAGGGAGAAGCATATGTGTAGAGACAAGGCAACCAACTCTCCCACTTTGCCTGGAACTGTCCAGGTTTAGCACTGAGGGTCTCATGTCCTCAGGCAATGGGGAAAGGTGGGCCATCCTACGGGGACCACCGAATCAATCAAGTTAGTGATTAAATATTAGTGGGAAGATCAAAGATCCTATGCTGTGTGATCAAAGGAGCTAACTCAGACCTAAAAAAATTGTCCGGCCACACACTCCTTAAGGGAGTTTAGATTTGTGTGAGTTTCTGATTCTGTCTTTATTATCCCATGCATATTCTTAAAATAAAATGAATTCTTGCAGCCAAAGAGCCTAACTCAAACACTAGTTTTTCAATGATAGATTACAGAAAACTTAACAGGTTATTTCATATTGTTTAAACCTTTCTTAATTACAAAAGTGAATTGTTATTTCCAGGGTTGAAAAAGCTGGAAAACCTGCAATATAAAGAAAGAATAAAAGTAAAAAAACAAGACAATAAAAGATTCAGTGAGAAATAAAAAGCTGAGGTATACCATGCTAAAAAATAGTAGTAAGCTTAATAGTGTATAAATGAAAAGTTATTACATGGTGAGAAAGAAACAATGATCAGTTGTTCTTCAATTCCTCACCAAAATGAAGCTATCAAGGAACACAAGAGAAACTCAATCCCTAGAGATAAATATCAGTCTTAACAAAAAGCACAGGGTTAGGCTAATTCTATTTTATGGGAACACTTGAAATTTCTTCCAGTTTTATGATTATACTTCCTAACTTTAGGTACCCAATCTTAATCTACCTTAGAACAAGTAGGTAATATCGAGTATTATAAAAGTGGAGGATGGGGTGGGAGTACAGAATAAGAGAGGTCCTAGCAAAATCAAATTTGGGGTATAGTTCTGTGTTCAGTTTTGAGGGTCATATTTGAAAAGAGCACTGAAAAACTAAATAACATTCAGAAGAAATCAACCAAGATTATAATGACAGAAAGCATTAGGAATTTAAGAATCAAAAGAGAAAAATGATAGTTATAATCAAATACTTGAAGTGTCTTAGAGATGACCATGGTTTTTTATTTTCTATTGCTTGAGAGTACAAAACTAGGCCCAAAGGGTAAAAATTATAGGGAGAAGAATTTGACTCAATAAATTGAAAAAATACTTAAAATTTCAAGACTTCTAAAAATGAAATAGTCTAAAAAGTAGTCAGTTGCTCAGCAGTGGCAATGTTCTAGCAGAAACTGGATGGCCATTTATATATGAGACATTATAAAAAGAATTCCTTAGAGAAAGAAAGGTTAGACTTGATAATGTCTTTTCTTTTCCAGCATTTAATTAAAAATGTAAATAAATTCAAACATATTGGAAACTTCAAGCATACAGAGAAATAGACAGAAGCTATAATACACATCACATACACATCAACCAGTTTTAACATGATCAATTCCTGGCCAATCTTGTTTAATATGTAATGCCCTACTTCACCTCACCCTTACGTTATTTTGAGGTATACCCCAGATGTCAAGTCATTTCATCCTTAAGTATTTCAGTATGTGAGATGAATATGTAAAACCCTTCAACTCCAGGATTCTATGTTTCTATCACTCCAAGACAAGAAAATTGAAAAGTCCACTAACACTCCGAACTGCATTCACAATTTACTCAGCCACTTCTAGATAAACCAAGGGAGTTAGTGCTTGAACAGTCTCACTGTCTAGTTCTTAGTGACACCTAGTGGATAAAAACTGCAACAGAAACAGTAAAATGACAGTAAAAACTGTCATGGTGGTGTTGGGGCAAAAGTTTACAGGCTTAAAGTAGTTTAGATCCCTGAACATTCTTCAGTATTTCATCTTTTAAGGAAAAAAAACAGGGTATAAAAACTTTTTTAAATTTTGTAACATTTCAGGCTTTTCATAACCTGATTTCCTCCTACATATCTAATCTCATTTTCTGTTATTCTCCTCTGTAAACTATCAATTAGAATGGTTCCATCACTTATTCCCAAATATACCAAGTTCATTACATATTCTAGACTTTTCACTGTTCCTCCTATCTCAAAATTCTCTCAAATTTACCAATTCAATTCACTTTATCAATTCAAAATATACAGCTCAATTCCACCTCTTCCAGGAATTCTCCCACAAACATTTTCTTGGATTTTAAAATTTTTGACATCCCATAGCATAACCTTTCATCAAATACAGAAAATGTCTCTCTATTATTATCAATTCGATTGGGATCTGTTAGCTTTGTATCTCCACTTGGAAAAATAACCCCATGAAGGGTCCTATTTCACATTTCATTGGTATTTCTACAATGTTTAACAAACACAGTATATTCAAGTGTCTGTGAACAAATGTGTTGTGAGTTATGTGTTATACAGATGAGATGTATATGATGCCTCACTAAGTGAGGTTACAGTTACAGGCACCATGAAGGCAATAACTGTGTCTGTCTTCATCAATGTTCTATCCCTTATACTTTATGCAGTGCCTGGCTCAATAAATATTTGCTCAACAAATTGTTCATAATCTTACAAAGGAAAACAAAAATGATTTATAAAATGATTACTACAAATCAAGCAATGGCAAGAAAAAGTCATAGTTTGGGACAAAGAGAAAAAAATGTTTTTAAGTATTTCAATATAACATGTGCTTATAAAGCTTTTCCCTATTGATACTAACACCACCATCGGATGTGTTTCATACTTAAGACCGAGCACATAAGCAGTTACAAAACTTTTATTTTCACATTATCATCATTTTTTTTCTTTAAAGATTTATTTATTTATTTTAAAGAGAAAGAGAGAGAGAGAGTGAGCCTGAGTGGGGGAAGGAGCAAAGGAGAGAATTTTCTTTTTTTTTTTTTTTAAAGATTTTATTTATTTATTTGACAGAGAGAGAGACAGAGAGGGAACACAAGCAGGGGGAGTGGGAGAGGGAGAAGCAGGTTTCCTGCTTAGCAGGGAGCCCGATGCGGGGCTCGATCCCAGAACCCTGAGATCATGACCTGAGCCGAAGGCAGTCGCTTAACCAACTGAGCCACCCAGGCACCCCAAAGGAGAGAATTTTCAAGCAGACTCCCCCGAGCCCAGAGCTCACATGGAGCTTGATCCCACAACCAGTGAGATCATGACCTTAGCTGAAACCAACAGACGGCCACTCAACCAACTGAGCCACCCAGGCACCCCCAGACAATCATCATCTACATTTTTGCTCTCCTCTCTCTATCCCTAGAAATACATTTTAAATAAGATGAAGTATAATTCCCATAGCAGAGTTGAAGAATATGGTATTAACTGGACGGAAACTCATGTACACTAAGGAGAGTTGAATGCATGGTGTCAAGTGATTTGAGTGGATGAACCTAATCATGGTAGTTAATTTTTAAACAACAGATACGTAAGGGGCGCCTGGGTGAATCAGTCGGTTAAGTGTCCAACTCTTGGTTTCGACTCAGGTCACGATCTCAGGGTCGGGAGATCGAGCTCCACATCAGGCTCTGCGCTCGGCACAGAGTCTGGTTGAGATTCTCTCTCTCTCCCCCTCTGCCCTCCCCCCACACTCTCTCTCTAAAATAAATAAATCAATCTTTAATAAATAAATAAATAACAAATATGTAAAATCAGTTACTCGATATGTTACATTTTAAAATTCTGATTATGTTAAGAGTTTATTATTACTTGACCTATAGATCTAGTTATTATGATAATCAGATTAAAGGACATAAAAGAGGAAAAAGAGACAAAAATAATGAATGAAATGCCCCATATATGTACTGTACCTATTTGCAACAGAGGTTAGCAATCAGTTTTGTCCATATGCTACAAACAGAATAATTTACCCATAACACAATTCCAGTATAATTGGGGGGGGGGGGAAAATCTCTGTTCTTTGACCCAAAGCTCTTTCTCATAAGGTCTGACTCTTACACTTTGGCACCTTTCTTTAGATGATTCTAAACTGTCTTACCAAAAATAAATAAATTTAAAATAAAATAAAATAAAAACTCTTTTAATTCTGTATTTATCATTTCCTTTCTGTAGATACAGTTTAACCTGCTTGGGTGTAATGTGCCAAGTTTGAATTCTTTAATGCTTATTTTTTTATTATTAAATTTAATTATTATTTATTATTATTTTTATTATTAAATTTAATTAAAGCATTATTTAATGCTTTAATTCTTATTTTTTATACAAAAAAATAAACATCATTTCACTATTCACCACTTACAAAGGTAAAAAAAGTAAAAGTGAAGTTAAATGTGATACCTCCTAATCTCTACTTCATATCCTAGATATGTCCTATACCTAAAAAAAAATCATAGACATAAAATGAATATGTACTTACAGCCTGGGCTTGTTGTTGGAATAATTCATTCTGATTCTCTCTATCGTCCATTCCATCCCCAAGCATCTGGGAAGGAGGTAACCTAGCACTTCCAATAGCAGCATTCAAGTTGCTTGGAAAAACACTTGTTCTTTTAGGAGTTAAATGTGCTGGATCTGAAGACTGCATGGCTATAGAGCCTTCTTTTTCTGCCTACACAAAGGAAGAAAGTGAGATTCTTCTAGTGAGTTCTACTCCAAGCCATTACAATGAAATAATGTCTATAAGCAGCCCCAAAGATTTTAAATCAGGATCGGGGTAGAAAGGGGAAAGTTTTAACAGGCAAAGAAACTAACATTTACCAGGCACCTACTATGTGCTAATAATTTACTTATCTAATTCTCATAACAACATTGTGAGACAAGTATCATAGCCCCATTTTATAGATAAAGAAACTACAGTCCACAGAGGGTAAGTAATAAATCCAAGGTCACATAGCTAGCAAGCAGCAAAGCCAAAATTCAAACCCAAATCCAAAATTCTGACATTGTTTTAAACTATTGGTGAAAGCAAAAAAGAATTCTTGTGAGTCAGAACAACACAAGAATAAAACATACAAATCTACTGCCCTCCCTAGCAATTATACAAAGCATGGAATCCAAAGAAAGTGATTCTGTAACTGTCTAATAGCTTCTCTCATAACACACACTTCACATTCAATCTTTACTCAGGTTCACTTTTGAACTTACTGCTTCATAAGATCTCTGAAACTGTTGCTTTTTTCTCAGCCTGATTTGCTGATTTATTCGGTGTTTGACTTGTCTCTGAAAATGCTTCAGAGCTTCTTGTTTTTTTCTTAGCTGTTCCTTTAGTTCTTCTTCAATCATATATGCTGAAGTCTTGGAAGATGAAAGACAGAAAATAAACTTAAATGTCAGCAGTTTTTGCCCACTAGGGCTCTGCTGTAAGCACAAATCAGTCAAGATAAAATCCTGACAAAATAATTCAGTTCTATAATCTAGAATTCCCAGTAGAGTAAGGAAATCACAGGAGTTCAGAGCTGATAATCTAGACATAGCAGGTGAGTACCAGGAACTCAAATCACAAACTAAAACTTGGAATTTGTGAGCATTCAAATAAAATCTTAATTTTTCATTGAACTGATAACTAAAGTTGTCTTCATTAATCCTTAATGAACCAATTCAAACCTATCTTATGTCACACATTTTCTAAAATTGCTTACCACTCACTAAATATGTCCTATTATAAAATGCCTTCACGCTCAGATTTATTCTCTATTTTTAAAACGTAGCATGCCCTTCCTGTCATCTCTATCTAGTAAGGCTTCCTCACTCTTTAAGACCATCTAACACCCACCACTTAGGACCTTCCACGATCCCTTCTTCTGAGCTCTCCTACACTACTACCTCTCATTCTTATTAACATTAATTGACAGCAACACTTCTCAAATCCCCCATTAGATTAGGTACACCTTGAGGACAGGAAATGTATTTAATTCTCCCTTGTTTCCCCTACAATATATAACACAGAGCCTTGAATATAAAGGTACTCAAAATTTATGTAATGCTCAATTCCAAAACATATTCTAAACAATCTAGAATATTTTATCCCATTTGAGTCCCTGATCAGTATTCACTTCCTCTGAGTGCTCTGAATAACAACCATAGTCATCATAATTAAAAGCAGTTACCATTATTAAAGATCTGCTACAAGACAAGCACTTTAACTACATTATATCACTGAATTCCCAACACTATCTCCAATAGAAGGTATTCTTATCTCTTGTATGAAAGATGAAGAAACTGGGGCTCAGAAAGATTCATCTTAATAGTAGCCAAAGATTCTATGGCTGGCAAGTAGCAGAGCTAGAAGTTTCTCTGACTCCAATACATATGCCCTATACTGTACTGTTTTTCTCTCGACTGTGTTTCTCTTTCAAGAGGAATCTTCAAATTAAATAAAATCATACTCCTATTGAGCCCTTCTTCTAACACACTGATTCCAAATTCTAGTTCAGAAGGTGCCCAAATATTTCATAGGAGGTCATTAACTCTCAAAAGCAAATGAACTTAAATTCCAATTAAAATTAAATTTTCCAAGAAATCTACCCCATATTCTATACAAATATATACCATAAGGGTAGAGTGTACAAAACAAATATCAAAGAACAATTAGGTAAAATAATTCCAAAGGAGAGATATAGGTAGTAAAGCCTGAACAACTGACCGAAATTAACTCAACTCCCAGAAGATTAAAGCCATCCTTCCTCTTTTACTTCCATTATCTGTCTGCCCCCTCTTTACCCCATGCTGAGATTATCAAACATCTTATTGAAGTATATGACTGACTCCAAATTGTGAATCTCAACTGTAAACCAAACATAAGAATGTACCATATTTTAGAAACATATTTTTCTTAGCAAACACCATTGTGTAAGGCCACCAAAACCCAAGAACATTGTCCCATGTTCTGGAATGTTAGGACATTCTCAGAGTCAAATAAATTTGAGAAATACTGGGTTAAGCAAAAATAAATACTGTTTCAATTGTACAACTAACTCCTCATAGACTTTTTGAACCCTAAGGACTATCCAAGGGGGCAAGATAGGATGAAGTGTTTCTCACAACAACCAAAGAATATTTTTGGATAATTCACATGATAGGACTGATATTTAGATTACACAGTAGTCTCCAAAGATGATCTCCCCTTCTCCCCACAGTGAATCAAGCCTCCCAGTATTTATGCCCTTGTGTAGTCATTTCCCATACTGAATGTAGTCTGGCTCTGTATATCCAAAAAGAGGAAGAAGCATTGGCTCCATGACTTCTCCAGCAAGGTCATAAAGCAACTTCCACCTATAGCTCTTGGAATGCTCACCCTAGGGAAACCAGCCACCATGTAAGAATTCTACCCTAAGACTACCATGCTGAGAGGAAGCCCAAGCTAGTCAAGTAGAGAGGCCATGTGGAAAGAGAAATCCTCCAGCAAGCTCCTAGCCATTCTAGTCATCCTAGCCCAAGTGCCAGATATGTGAGTGAGAAAGCCATCTTGGACTTTACAGCCCAAAAGATGCCAGATGAAGAACCAAGAAATCCAACCAACAGCCAGAACCCAGTAAACTTGTCCCAGACATCTCCAGCCATTTTAGCTGTCCCAACTGAAGTTTCAGACACCATGTTGCAGATAAGCCATCCCCACTGTGCCCTGCTTGAAATCCTGACACACGTTATCTTTTGCTTTATGCCACTAAGATCCAGGTTTGTTACACAACAATAGATAACCAGATAAATTATAAAATATTGCAATAGCCATGAATGCTGATAGAACAGCAGTGTTTTTTGGTGCTAATTTAATTAATGGAAGGGGAGGGAGGTCTGAAGTTATGGTATTTTTAGGAATCTTGACAGCTCCTTGAAACTTTGGGGACAAAAATGATTAGGAGTTTCCCTTTAGAATAGGCATGATATTAGGTCTACCATGCTTTAGAAGTAACTATTCAGCATTTCTTCTGAGCTGACAAGAGCTGCATCTGTTAAGGGTGGATTCCCCAGTCAGTATATGCTAAATCGGTAGAGTTCTATGAGATGCTTGATCAGATTGACTTTGGCTGGTACTGATCAAAATTTTTTAAATGAGGGAAAGGAGACATGTTTATATTTTTTCCAAGACTAGTATTTTGATTTAATGTTTGGGAACATGAGATTCGATTCTCTTTAACATAGAAAAAGAAAAATTTGGTAGTTTTTAGGCCTTCTGATGCTACATTACAAAGATGTCATTATTTGAGCAATGAAAAAGAGGAGTCACTAACTTAAATACCAAAATACCTTTGTACCAAATCTTACTGATTCTTCTGGGATAAATGTTATTATGTAAACAGGCACACATGTAAACTTTGCAAAAGTTTCCCTTCATCTGAAATGCTTTCCTACGACCTGTACTTACAACATTTCCATTTTTTAAAGATGAACATAGACTACATTTCCACATCCATTCTTTCAGTGAGTATATCCTTAAGACTTACTATATGTCAGGACAGGAATGAACAAAAAATAAAGTTCCCTGTCCTCATGAAATTTACAGTTAAACTTTCTCAGAATCCCAGTCAGAATTAATCTGTTCTTTCCTTATTCTGTCTGAAACTTACTGAATCTCTACTACACTCTCATTAACTTTAAGCAATCAATTAATGTTTCATTAAGCGTGGCAACTGTCACCCCTACTATGTGGTAGGGTGTCTGCAAGATATAGACAGCAATCAAGAGTTTGTGAAATAAACATTTTTGGCAAATAGGTGTTTGTTCTACAATCCTAATTCAAGAACGTACCTATTTATAACAGAAGAGAAAGGACATCCCCAGAAAGGACTGTTCATCTTTATCTAAGCACCAGGGATTACAGAAGGCTAATATGGGGGGGGGGGGTAGAGAAAGAAAGAAAAAAGAAAAATGGGGGAGGAACCCCACTACATTTGCATCAAACTGACACTCACATATGCTGGGACTTCCGAACTATCTGGCAAGGCAGGTTCCACCCATGCCCCAACTGGCATTATAGCCTGGTTCCTCTCAGCCAGCACTGCCAACACGTCCTTGCTCTTCAGGGGGTTTAAAGCCAGAGGCACCCTTGTGGTATTTCGAGACTTCTTGAAGGGGGCCATACTTCCTGGCATCTGTGACTCCTGGGCAGGAGAAAAGAGAAGCTTAAAATCTTCAAACGACTGCGCTAAAAGCTCAACCTCCTAAGCCATGAGCACAGGCTCCAGAAAGGGGGAGAAGCCTTGGAGGAGGCAGTAGCCTGACAGGCAGTCGAAGAACGAGAATTCTGGAGAAGGAAGGAAAGAGGAAAGAAGGGGAAAGAAGTGGGAAGAAATAAAAAGGAAAAGTATAAAGACTGCCTTCTGGAAAGAATGGGATGAAAGGGGGGAGAAAAGGGGATCTACTGAGAGAACGAAGACGGTGCCCACCGGTGGCACCGCGAGGAAAGGGAGGAACGACCGCAGCAGCCAGAAGGAAAGGGGCCTGGTAGGGTGGGGCGGGAACCTGAGCCAAAGGCAGAGTCCAAATAACCGGTATCCGGTTATGGGGGAAAGCGCTGAACGCCGAGGAGTCCCGGGCCAGACAAAAGCCTGTTTCTCAGGCCTCAGGGGTCCCACTCCTGCTAAGATAACACCGACGCTGTTCCGGTGCGCCGCTCGCCACAGACTCAAACTATTCCGGATACTAAGGAAACTGCCTCCAGTAAACCGCCACTTTGGGGAGCGCCGCCCGGCCCCGCCCCGCCTCGCCCCGCTCCGCCCCGCCTCGTCCCGCTCCGCCCCGCCCCGCCCCGCCCCGCCCTTCTGGGGCCTTGTAGCCGCCCCTTCCGGTCTTGCGTCCCCTCCCTGGGGCTGGGCAAGCGTGAGGGGCGGGACTTCGGGCTCCGCAAAACGACACTTCCGCTTCGTTCTAGCTGAGGGGGGCGGGACTTGTGAAGGCCCAAGAAACTGGGCGGAACGAGTGGCTTCGCGCGGCTGCTGGGTAACGCGCTCGCTGAGGTGTGGCGGCAGCTGGTGCCATTGTAGACCCGGCACGGAGACCAGCTCAAATATTTCAGGAAGGGATTACATTGAGCTGAAGAACGGTGACTGGGAGGGACAAGGGTCCCAACAGAATGAAGTAGGAGAAAAGGATGGAAAAAGGTGGGCCTAGCAGGGCTTCCTCTAGGAACAAACTAAGCTAACCAAGCTAAGGATCCTGTGTACACTTCGTTACATTTATAAGGCTATTTAATACATATTCTTATATTTGAACAGCCTCGCGAGCGGTCACCCTCTCTGCTCCAAGCTCTACTATAATTCATTATCCCTGTGAAATACCCATTCGTTCATTCATTTAATATATTCTTGAGAGCTTTTTATGCACCCTTACTGTTCTGGGCCCTGGAAATATATAGCAGTGAACAAAACAAATACCCCTTGTTCATGGAATTTGTAATATAATAAGTAACCAAACACAGGAGTAAGTAAACGTCTGATGCTGATGAATATTGTAGCGTAAGCAGAGACAATAAAGAGTGTTGCAGGGAAAGGAAATGAATTTTTAGATAGGATGACTAGAGAAGGCGTCACTGAAGTACTTTTTTTAAAAAATATTTATTTATTTGAGAGAAAGAACACAAACAGAGGGGAGGAGCAGAGGGCGCCATCCCAGTACCCTGAGATCATGACCTGAGCTGAAATCAGACACTTAACCAACAGAGCCACCCAGGCGCCTCCACTGAGGTACTTCTGAGCAAAGTCTCCAATGCAAACTCCCGCGATCTAATGGAAATAGCTACCATAATCTTCAAAGGAGAGTTAAGTGTTCAGGTAGAGGGGACAGCAAGTACAATCACTCCAAAGTAGCTGAGAAACAGCAAGGAGGATGGTGTGACTGGTACAGAGTGAGAGGGGAGAGTGTTGGGGTAGGAGTCAAAAGTTAGGGGGTGGGCAGTCATATAAAGCATTGTAAGCCATGCAATGGCATTGAGATGGGGAATCACCCATGTTTTGAGCAAAGGAAGGCCATAATGTGACTTAAATTTTTTTTAAAAATCACTGTATATGCTATATTGAGAATAGACTGAATGAGCCAGGAGTATAAGTAGTAGGCCAATTAAGAGGCTAGTCCAATAATCCGAATAGGAGATGACAATGTCTTAGATCAGAGAAGTAGTGGTAAAGATGGTGAGAAGTAGTTGGGATTCTGGATATACTTGGGGGGCAGGACTTTCGGGACCTGTTGAAAGTGTGATATAGAGTGTGTGTGTGTGTGTGTGTGTGTGTGTGTGTGTATGTGGAGAGAGAGAGGAGTCAAGAAAAATTCTAGTGATTTTGTCCTGAGCAATTGAGAGGATGGAGTTGCCATTACCATTTACTAAGATGGGAGAAATGGCAGACAGAATAGGTTTGGGAGGAAGATCGGGAATTCAGTTGGAGACAGATTAAGTTTTGTTAAATTCGGGGGTAATTTGTTACACAGAAAGTGATAACTAATACAAATAGGAATCAATAATATAGAGGAAGAGACGTTGGAGATCTGAGGAAGGAAGGTAAGGTACAAAATATTTGTCCAGAAGAGTAGAACCAGAGACCTGTGCAATTGCCAGATGGCCTTAAGGACCCATGTGAGATTCATGATTCTGAATTTCAAGTGAGACTAGTCAGCATGGTTGAGCATTTTTCTTCAGTTGTATGGTTATAGGAATAAAGTAGGTGGAAAAATTAATTTTAATCAGGATTGGGTCTTTACCAAAATATTACTCTCAAGCAAGAAATGAAGATTTAGGAAGTTGAAGAGAGATTAGTGCAAGGGAGTAATTAAATGACTGACCATGAAACTTAAAATACATAATAAGGAAAGGGAGGACAAGTGGGATGTAAGGGACATTGTAAAGTTAGTACAATAAAGGGATTGAAGGTTCCAGTGGAGGTCTAAGGTTTGTTAAAGCAAGATGCTGGAAAGAATGCCCTAAAAAGATAAGAGATGGGGATCCAAGAGTGGGATGCTTGAAACTGAGGATATGGAGGGGCTGCAGATACTGGTACTGTCAAAGTCCATGGTAGGACCAAGGGAGGGAATGCTGAAGTAAAATCCCTGGAGCAAAAGAGGTCATAGAAATGAGGGGCCAAAGCATTGGATGGACTGTTCCCAAGGTTATCAAAATCACCAAAATATATGACCAGAATAGTGTTGGTAAGAACCAGGAAGAATAGCCTTCAAGGAATTTCAAGAAAAGACCTGGAGGTTGGTAGAGGAGAATAACTTGGAAAGCAGTGAGTGGTATGGTCTAACAACATTAGATTCAAAGAGAGGAGTGAAGCCAAGAAAAAGGAGAGAGACAGGTTTATAAATAGCAGTGAGAAAGAAGGTAACCCATCCCACCTCCACCCAGAGGGCTAGGGAACAGAAAACAGCCACCCTTTGAGAGAACCAGAGGGAGATTGATTTGCATACCCCCAAACACACACACACACAGCCCTCAACACTGGGGAGAAATGTGATTAGGTAGCTCCTTGCTTTCTCTAAACCTCTAGCTCAAGGTCTATGCATCTCACTAGCAGCTGTGCCAGTAGTTTCATATGAATCTATACTCTTGTTATATCCAGAAAGGTTCCATTTTCTGACCTTTTCACATGGTTTATCTTCTATATGGCCAGAGTTAGTTTCTCAGCAGGGAACTGTTTGCTCAAGATTGTCTGTTTTCTTCAGAAACTTAAAAGAATCCGTATTTCTGGCACCAGAGTCTTGAGGTCCTGTACCACAGAACTCCTCACCACAGCTGGATTGTCTCTGATGTGTATGGCTGGGGGATCCCTGGCCATCTCTGCACAAAGCCCTGAGTCACTGGGTCCTTGGCAGCAGTCCACTCCACACAGAACTGATTGTTTGATGAGCAGCGGGGGCAATTTGCTCTTTGGTCACCATTATTCTGTTTGTGGCTGACAGACCCACACTGGTAACAGATCAGATGACTTGGTCACCAATTATTCCAAAGGGCTGACCCCAAGGAAAACTTCTCTAGAGATGAGAAACCCGCCTATTGTGCTCTCATGGGATCTGGATGTTGGGAATTCAACCCCAGGCAGCTGAGTCACATCTATTTTCACTCTCTTCCCCAAACTTGAATTGGATTTCCCAGGACTAACCAATGTTCTGGGTTATTTCCTGAGAGTAGACCATAGCACTGTCCTTTGATCTTCTTCCTTAGCCACCTCTCCAAATAACCTTCCTAACTGAAATCATTGGTGAGGGTCCTTCCGGTTGCCAATGCAGACCAGGTTTTTGCAGCAGAATTTCATCAAAAATGACACCAGTAACAGATCACTTAGTTGTCTCAATAGCATCTGTTATCCTGACCTTTGCAAAAGATTCTCTAATTTTGGATTAGAGAATGCAGAAGTCTTTCTCCTTTCTCTTGGTGAGTGATAAAAAAAAAAAAAAACACACAACATAGGAGTCTCAGCGTCTTTCCACATTCCCAAATACTCTTCCAGGATGGACACAGAGAGGCACTTCCCAGATCCCCCTTCAAGGAAGGACTCATTGGCTCAGGTTTTGCGAGCGCTGTTGTTTTACTAGCTGTCAGCTTCTTCAGGGACTGCCTCAGCTTCAGGTTGCTGCCTTCCCTTCCCTTTAAGGAGCAGCCACATCCAGTGACTGATGGATATGGAGATGTAAAGGCCCAGTGGTTTCTGCCTAACTTGGAACAACTGATGGGTCATCATTTCAGCTTCAGAGCTGCCTGTGGGGTCAGCTGAAGCCGTCTGGCCTGATCACAGCTCAGCTTCTTCCTCTGCCTACTCCTGCTTCCTCCTCCTTTCCACAGGTGTCAGTCTCAAACACACTCCTTGATTAACATGAAATTCTGTTGAAGAACCTGCTTCCTGGAGAACCTAACTACCACACCCTTGGAAGGTTGTGAGATCTCAGGGACCAAAGCACTGGCAATGCTCAGGCCATGTAAGTCCTAATGTGAAAACCCACAGAGTCCTGATCATTATTCTCTTCCTTTCCATCAAAGACACCTGCATATTTCAAGGAGATGGTCCAACCACAAGCTAAAGTCCTTTTTATTCCCTATTGGCATTTTTGAGCCTCTGGATTCAGCTAACTCTCAAGGCTACCCTGCCTCCAGACTATGTAAATAGAGTGAAAGAAGCTCTTTATTGTTGATGCCAACTTGCATTAAGTTTTATACTGTTTATAACGTAAAGAGCCCTGAGATGCACAAAACAGAGAGAGTCAATTGGTCAAGAGAGGAGAATGGAGCAGAGAAGCAGGAAGATCCAGAGTTACCTACAAAAATTGATTTTGGAAGCTGTCCCAGTGCTTGGGCTCTCCTCCTCCAGATCCATGCAATATGCCTGTCCTTTGATGGTAACTTCACTGGGATATCTCCTGTGTGAAGCCAAAGAAGTTTGACTTTGCCTTAATATAAAGCAAGTTTGGTCAAAATGCTTTTATCTATCTATAGTTGTTATCTGTATGATTCATACTTTTGACCGTTTTTGA